TAGATCAAAACAATTTCAGTTATCTCTTCATGAAACGCACATTTCAATATTAATACACACTAATCCACTTAAATGCTAGAAATTGCACGTACAAATCATTATTTTATTGTGCTTTTTGTGTGCGAGCGAGAGTATTACAGGTGGAGACACGACTGCGTAGCAAAGAGTGATGTTTTGCTTACCGGAAGCCGCTAAACCGGTGGTTGGTGAGGGCATTTCTCCACCTCCTCCTTTCTTCGCCTGTACTGTTACGGAAAGATTATTATTTTATACGTGGAATTGTGGTAGGTGGGATTGAACCCTCTCAACTTCAAAATGTAGCTGTATTTATATATCCAAAAAATTGCCACGTGTTCGGCGATGCACTCACACCGGTGGCTCTGATTCAAGGGCGTAGTAGTTAGAAATATTTTTACATAATTATTTAAAAGATTTTTTTTACAAAAAAGGATCAGGGTAACAATCATGCTACTTTACAATCTTTTTTTACAATCTTTATTGATATCTCACATTTGACAATATCGTATTCATCCATTTTAAAAACTGTTTTTTAAATCAATAGTTCGATTTTTGACAATATCAATGTTGTCAACAATGATTGTCAACAGCAAATGTACAAATAGATTAATTTTGAAACCAATATCTTTTGTAGGGACCTCAACAAGGGTCTTACCACATGTACACGGACGTTTACATGCCCGTGTACCAGACCCCAAGCCCCCCACTCACAATGGAGCGGCCCACCCCATTATTTTATTCACCTCGAGCCCCTCTCATTGTGAGGGAGGGTGGTGGGGTCGTGTAAATGGCTTTTTCCCCTCAATAATGACTTATGCACCATCTCTATCGAGCTTTTAGCAAACTCAACATCTTTTTTAACTTCTAATGATGAGTCTTTCAGTGTCGTCTCGACCCTGATTTTCTTACTTACAACCCAGTACTTTGACTTGGGGAGTTACGATCACTCATAAGACCTTATGGAGGACACAAACCTGTCAATGTCTGTGCCGCAACCTTAAACCGTCTTTCTTAAACTTGTTAAAACTCTGATGTAAGAGTTAAGCTCCCATTTGAGCCCCATTTTTTTCCCAATGTTTACCTCATTCTTCTTGGTTTTTGGACGGCTACAACAGTGGGGCCTCTGGCATTATCGCCTGAATGTGTACAGTTTCAAGAAAATATGATAGACAAATTTCCAATAGGCTACCCTTTTTTTAACGGTAAAGGAAATTAGGAGTGTGTTTGGTAGGAATTTTTGGGGGAAGAATTGATTTTTGAATAGTGATATGATGGGAAATGTGTGGTTGAAAAAGAAGAAAAAAGTATTGATGTGATGAAAAATATTATTTTATTGAAGAATGTAATTTTTGTACAATGGATCCAACAACCAATGGGACACGTGTCACCCATCCCGGAATTCAATCTACTCGACCCAATAACAACGCAACGCAAGTTTTCTCCAGCTGAAAAAAGAAGTAAAAATTACTTTTTGTTTGAATAATATTATGGACAATGCTATATGTACATTCACTTTTTTACCTAATTTTTTACTATTACATTCACAATAGGATGTGAGAACCACACATTTGGAAATTTTTTATTTATGCTCGCCGCGGTTACATGTAAGAAGGTGTAACATTTTCGGTACAAATAGAATTGTCCTAATATCATATAGCACTATTAATGTTTAGTACTAGTTTACGTGACATCATAGTAAAAATTCAAGTTAAAGAGATTTCAAAACCTTCAGTTCATTTCCCTTGTCAACCATTGTTGTTTGTACAATTAGATTAAGGCCTTGTATGGGAAGGATTAAAATCGGATTAAAATTGAAAATATAGCCGTTATTGTTGACTTTTATTAGACGGGTGGAGTCCAATAACGGCCATATTTTCAATTTTAATTGGATTTTAATCAGTCCCGAATGGGGCCTTATTCTTTTTTTTCCAATTTTTACCTCATTTTTCTTGGTTTTTGGACGGATGCAACAGTGGGGCCTCTAAATTATTGCATGAATGTGTACCGTTTCAAGAAAATATGACTACATGAGAGACCAATTTCCAATAGGCCCAAACTACCCTTTTTTTAATGCTAAAGGAAATTAGAATGTGTAGGGTAATAATAGTTAGGTATTTTGGTAAATAGTGGATGACAAATTGGGTATTTAGTCCAACCTATTTTCAACGGCGGCTTTACCCATAAATGCTCTGGCACAAATCAAATAATTTCAAAAAACGTGGGGCCCGCAAAAAGTGAAAATAAGAATGAAAATTTTGGCAAGAATGAGGGCCAAACGGGAGCTAGATGTGATAATTATAGACCCATTTGACATAATTTTTGATTTTGCTTCTTGAACTTTAGGAGGAGGTTATCTTTCTTTTTTTTTTTTTTAAACTAATTTTTAAAAGTGCTTTCATTGAAAAGTAATTTTAGAGAAAACTACATTTAATCAAACTTACTTTAAAAGTCTTTTTAATTAGAAGAAACACTTTCATAAATTTAACAAATGGATCCAGAGTAGCTTTTGAGTCTCCTTACTTATCTCGTAATACATTTGGTAGCATTGAATTCACACATATAATATATGCCATACAATCTAGGCAGGGCTATGAATTCAAAATGAGGTCCACAATCTATTAAATGGTGCTTTGTACTTAGGGATGTCAACTTGACTTATTGCTCAGACGATCAATGGCTGGATCAGGAAATAGCTTGAGCAGCTTTGCTCACGGCTTGAGTCCAACCTCATTTTTGGACATCGGCCTGAGCCGGCTCGTGTGGCTCAACGAGCCAAACGGGCTGCCATATGTCATAGGCTATTTTGGCCCGTGTTTTAAAATGCAGGTTTTGGCCAAGGTTTTTTTATTTATTTTTATATAATATCTTTCAATGTATAGTTAAATCTTAGGGCGTGTTCGGTCTAATTTAAAATTTAATTAAAATTGAAAATATAACCGTTATTGGATCTCACTCGTCTAATAAAAGTCAACAATAAAGGTTAATTTTTCAACTTTAATCCGATTTTAATCTCAACTCAACTCAACTCAACTAATTGACATTCCTATTTGTAGCTTCAATGTATATCAATAGTGATATTCAATACTAGTGTGGGTGATGATAAAGTTCACACTCTATAATTGGAAATGAATTATATATTTTGTTATGATCACTAATTATCAGTGTTCTAAAACTCGTGAAAATTGCGCTGCCTAGGCGCGACATGCGGCCAAAACGCATCGAATTCAGCGACGCGCGGGAAAATGCGTTTCCATCTAAAAGATAGCGCAATGCGCACGCCTAATGCGGCATTATGCCGCCCAATTTTTTTTTTTTGTAAAAAATCTATTTTTTTATATAAAGATATATTTAATGCCTTAAAAATACGAAACGCATTATGACGCTTATTTTTCGCATTGACACGCCTAAACTTGTGATTCTTGATTCTCGGATTCGACGCATCGCAACGCATTATACATTTTAGAATACTGCTAATTATAGGGTGTGT